GAATCGTTCCGAGCTCGGTGGTTCTCCCGATAGACCTCGCCGAGTTGCTTGACTGCCTCAGGGTCCCGGAAGGTATTGTCATCGGAATCAGGGTTCTCTCGGTACGGCTTTTTGTGTATACGGTTCAGATCTTCGTGGAGCGCATCGACTAGCCAGCTGACGAATTCTTGAGAGTCCTGTTGGCCATAACCAGAAAACATGGGATTCGCCCTACCAAGCTTGAGTTTGAAGTCTTTGGGCGAGACAGATGAGCTGTTGTCGAAGCCATAGATGGAGCTCAAAAGACCAGCGTACGACTTGGCAATTACACCTTTGAAGCCTATGGGGTTGTCGATGTTGACCTCGTCTTTCCATTTGTTATTCAGAAAGTACATGCTCAACTCTTCGACACTCCGTAGACATTGGAGAGCGGAATTCATGTAACAGGTATTGCCAAGGTTCGTAAGTCCCACGTGGCCACGGACTTTGCCATTCTGCTTTCTTCCGCGCGTCATGGGGCCTCCCGTTGGAGTGCTCCTACCACTGTTGGGGTTGCTCTGCAGGCCCTTGCCAGTCAGGGCACCAGCCTTGTTCTTGGGGGCTGTTTTGGTGGTGTCGGCAATGTATTCACCCTTGTCGTCATGCTCCTCAAGTACAATGATCTGGTCCTGGGTCAGACCAGCGTCAGCCAACGTCAGAGACGCGTTGAACGTCTCATTGGCCGTCTCGTCTTTGCCTGTGACCAGCTCACGCTCTGATCCAAAGGCAAGAGCACTGAAACCGTCGGCCGCCATAACGAGTGTAGGCCGTTGCGTGAGTGCGGGTGTAACAGTAGATCCGTTCTGGGGAGACGCGTCGGGTGTTAATATGCCGGATGGCTGTGTTGCCTGTGGCTGGTCTGTAGGAGCGGGCGTGAGAATGCGCCAAATGCGAACTTTGTTGTTGGGGTCAACGCCTGCGGCTTTCTTGGCAGCGTCGACAAAGGCTACAAAGCTCTCGTAGCGGCTCGCGACGAACCTTGCGGCTGGTTTCGTGCTGTCAGCGGCGTTGGGAGTTTTTCGCACTTTCTGGATGGTAAAGATGGGAGGGTGCAGCTCGTAAGAAATATCCTCGCTGACTTGGCCCGGTACCGTGTTGTGGGCGTAGCGGCGTATGACGGGACTCGACTTCTCAAGCCCGTACCAGCTAAGGACCAGATCCCACGCTTTGCGGGGCACAATCTCGAAGTCTTGGCCCATAGTTGTCTCTTTGCTGAGCGCGACGAAGTCATCGCCATGCTGGTCGACCAAGTTCTCGTGCGCTAGTTCTGGGTCGACGAGGTGCGAGTTGTCGACAGGGCCCACGGGACCCAAGGTCGCGTTCCTGCTGAAGTCGTTGGGCCTGCCTCTGTTCTCCGACGTCCTTGCCCACACGCGCTCTAGCCACTGTTCGGAAATAATGTAGCCCTCCTGCCCTTCCACAAGGGCCTCGCTCGACATCATGCCCATGACGCGAGTCACCTGCACGTCGATGTCTGGGAGCCCCTGCTGCTCAGTGGCGTCATCGTCGCCGTCGCCGTCGGGGCTGCTGCCGGCGGGCGCGTCAGCCATCTCTACGGAAGTTGCGCGTGCACTGCGCTGTGGTGTGCTGGTAGGCAGGGGCTTGCTGGCGCGGGCGGCCGAGGGCGCGTCGCTGGTGCGCGTGCCGTGTGCGTCGGGCTTGTCGTCCATGTCGGAGTGGAGGCGCTTAGCGGGTGAGGATGCGCGTGGAGGGGGCCGTTGAGGATGTGCTTCGGTGGTGCGTGTGCGGTCCAGGTCGGTGACGGAGCCCTCGCGGCTGTCGAGGGTGAGGTTGGCGTAGGCTTCGCTGGGGGAGCTGGCCCCGGTGTAGCTGTCTCGCGCCGAGAGCGTGCCTGGTTCGGGCGTGTCGACCAGGACTTCGTCGTGCAGGTGCGGTGGCAGATAGCGTGGCGGCGATGCTGAGGGTTGCGGGGAGGAGCGAGGGGACCCTACACCGACGCTGCCCACATTCGGTGAATGCGTGCCGTCGCCGTTGGACGAGTCTCGTGCGGGGACCACGATCTTCCGCTTCTTGTTATTAGTGGAGGCCGTTTTGAAGCTGATTGCCTACCGTGAAGCCCGCGAAGAGCTTCAGGGCAGACGGTGCAGGGCGGACGAGCGAGGGTGAAAGGGCAAGCAAAAGGCGGACAAGGACTATGCAGCGGGCCGCAGTACCTGGGCAATGGCGCCTCTTCTTCACAAACACAGTAGCACGGCGGTGAACAAACGAGGGGTAACAGCGCAATGTCCGCAAAAATCAGAGCAGCGCCGTGACATGGGCCGTCGTCACTATCGCTGTCCGACCGCTCAGCCTTGCGGACACTACCTTGGTAAGCGAGCTTGGCGACGCGGTGAATGCTCACCCCCTGTCGCGTGTGCGAAGCTGCCAGAACACCATCTGTTTGTGTTTGGTGCATGTCACAATCGCCTAGACAACACCATGGGAAACCACAGCACATGCATGTGTACAATTCATGATGCCATGTCAACAGTCTGTATTCTGTCCGGCGTTTGGTGTTACGTATGATACAAGCGCAGCATCGCGTTTCATTTTGACCCGCCACTGTTCAGCCATGCGAAAGCAGAGGCACCGCCTACTGGATTCGCAGATCGAGGCTTCGACAGGCCAGGCATATTTTCCCTTGCTTTGTCCCCAGACACACTCCTCTTCACCGGAGGAGCCGCCGCAGGGTTGCTTGCTTCGCTCTCGCCTCTGCGCTTTCCATCATCAAAGAAGCGTGACTGCACGGTCACAGGCGATGAGTTTGACGTCGACAGAGTGCGCGTGGATTTAGAAGGTTTCAATACTTTGATGCCTGTATCACGTCGCTGGTAGCTGGGATCTGAGCTGGCGGTTTTACCCACGTTGGCCCAATCCAGAGAGCCCGTGTTTGTCTTCTCCGCTTGGTCACGGCGCCAGTTGCTCCAGATGGCTTGCGGTGCTCCTGATTGTGGAGCTCCACTTACAGAGCCCGGCTCCTGAGCATCCTTGTCAGAGCGACTTGACGCTGAGAGGCCTAATTGTGGACGCTGTTCGAGACTCCTCCGGCCACTTGACCCGCCATCCTCAGAGTTGGTCACTGGGCCTGTGCCATTCGATTTCTCCATAGACGAATGCGTCTCACGGGTCGGTGAAGTGCTAGACATCTGAGTTGTGTGATGCGCATGCGCTGAAGCCAGAGTCGAAGTAGCGCGGTTCGGATCCGTCGTAGAGGCACCGCTAGCGTGCAAGCACTTGAACGCGCGATCATCTTCAGGACGGACGAGTGGTACCTGAAGCTTGTTACGGTCATCATCATACAGAGTCAGTTGGTTGCATGAAAGAAGGAGGTCGGCATTATGTGCTCGAAGCATGTCGCTACCAAGGAAAATCTGAATGGCTTTTGGATTCACCTCAGCGTCGTGCTCCTCGATGACGGTGAAATCTACGCCTATCGAAGGAAGCTGCGGCGCCGGGCTGTCGGATCGTGAAGATGCTGAAACAGGCACGGCCTCTGGAAGGTAGACAGACAGCTTGATCTTGCGAACCCGGTCCTCGTCCAGTATGACCCGATCCTGAAAGCCCAGGTGTTCAATTGTGTACCAGTCCAGATAGGATGTGAATGAACCTGAACAGACTGCTGCATACAGCAAGGTGTCGTGTTTGAAGTTGGTGTTGAGCCAGCAACGTATTATGGCAGGAACGGAGCCGAGAATGAACAAGCCAGGAGCCAGCCCTGGGACGTCTTGAGGCGTTGTCGGACCAAAGCTAGTGAGGCTGTTGGCGCGACCCGAAGCCATAGAATGCACCGACTGGCCGGCAGAACTTTGCCTTCCGTCTGACTTGTGGGAGTAGCTGCGCTCGCTCATGACATGCCCGCCCATGCTGCTACCAGTGCGGGGTATCAAATCCAGCGACGATCTCGATGCATGCGCCCAGTGACCGTGATTGGCAGTTTCATCGAAGCGGACGCTGTTCGCGCGAGATGTGGCCCCTACACGGCGGGGTTCCTCGTCGGCGTCAAGTTGGAGATTGCCGATGAGATTGCTGGACTGGTCGTCGAAGTTCGTGAAGTGTTCGGCGGTTGGCTGCTGCAGGGGAACTAACAGTTTTCAGCTAAAGATGCACAAATTCAGGTGAAGCGTCTTACCCTGTTGGGGTGTTCCCCCCAGCACCGAAGGAAAGGGCGATGAAGTCCCCCAGACGTTCTTCAGACGCGAGTCGTCTTCCTGCTTGCGCTCCAGGCGGGCGACGCGATCGGCGAGTTCGGCTTGGTGCTCCTGCACACGTAGCATTTCGCTTTGAAAACGCCAGAAATCGTCGCGCGGCTGGAAGGCTACGCTCTGAGGATCCATGCCCGTGACTCTCTCATCCCTTGGTGACGTGCTCAACAAAGAGACACCAGCCTTCCCGTGGGGACTCCCCTACCTTCACCACCGAGCGACCGCTGCCCAGTAGCCCAGTTCTTTTGTGGCAGTCTCTCTTGTTTAGTAGAGTAGGCGTTTGCGGTGTGCGCGGGTCTGGGTCGTCGGTTGTGAGGAATGCGTTTGAAGCCGACTATCGAGGTGTTCGGTGGGCAATTTGGAGGTGAAGGCAAGATCTGTGAAGAGATATCGGCCGTGCTGCTATCTCAGACAGCAGACGTTGGGTGTTGGGCGGTGTGATTAGTTGGACTACTGGAGCAGAAGGTACGATGGTCGCAACAGCGGTCTTTGCCGAAGATCAGGCGGTCCCGAGACGGCGCTAGAGGGAGCGAGATAATGTACAGTGTCCCAGAAAAGTTTGAACGGGAAAGGAAATAGGAACAGGAAAATCTGACTGCTGGTGTATTCTTGCGTCCTGTTGACGCGATGCTGAGCTGAGGTTCGTCGAGTGACGCTGCTAACCACAAGCCGCCGGAGTTATGCACCCTCGCCCGATTGGACACGACTTCCCCAGAGCCCCGCTTGATCGCGCAGCTGAAATCAAGCTTGCCCACATCCACCATGTCTACCACTTTTGCGCTAGATCGAAGAAGACTGAGCACTCTCCCACTGTTTCCACGCTTCCCGATCGTTCCACGGCGGCAGTACCATGGGCAGCTTCTCAGGCGACTGCAAAAGTGGAGGCACAAAGTCAGTATCTACCTCATGCATTTCATACAGTCAGAACTTACCTGATCCGGCCACTGCTCTGCGATGACCTTGATCAACTCCTGGTAGAAGATCTCGTATCCTGCTGGGTTCAAGTGAAGCCCTGAAACGTGCAGTTAGCATGGCGAGGAAACAGGAAGGTTTTGCGAAACCCTTACCATCGTACATAAGCTCCACGAGGGCGTCATTCTGCGAGACGTCTAAAGAGCCCGGGAGATCATCGCCCAGCTTCCAAATATCTGCTTTGAAGTCCGTCCTCGCCATGAAGGCTTTCCAGAGATTTACGACAGGCAGGCCAAGCTCGGCGCCAAGTTGAACGACTGCATCGGCATATGTTTTGGTCGCACCCGCCAGTCGCGTCACGCTAGCATATCCGTTCGACTGGTCTCTTGGCCACCACAGATGCTCGTTGATTGGGGGAGGAGCTACTAGGATGATACGAGGGTCGTGGGCTTTGATCTGCGGATGGGACATGATGTCCTTTAGGTTCTTGATGAACTCATCAAGAGGAATATGCTGCTTGTTTGGCGCATCTGGTAACGATGAGTCGTTGGCGCCGAAGAAGATGGTCTGTATGGTCAGCCAGGGCTGCATCTAGCATGGACAAGTCTTACCATGAACCGAATCTTAGCCTGATCCGGCGGGGGCACGATGGCGGGCAGTATCTGGAGAGCTTGGCGGGTGTTGTACCCACTGTCATGGTGTTAGCTGTCGGTGCGGTCGTAAAGGTAGGACGTCATAACCTGAAGCCGCGGTTGACTACATCCAGTCGCCTGATGTATGCTGTTGGAATCATTAGTGCCATTCACAGTCGCCCGAGCCAATGGCCGCCACGGAAGCTTCACGAAGAGATGTTTTGCATGGGATAGTGATCGGGAGACATGATGATATTTGGACTGACCAGCTTGAAGCGCTGCTGAGAAGGCAAAGCCTCGCTCCTGGGAGAAGGAGTCTTGGGTTATGCTGTCTCCGAAGAGGAAGAACTGTTCATAGAGAGCAGGCTACAGTCATCAGCGCATAGTCCCAATGGCACTCAATGTCCAGCAAGACTCACCATCTTGAATGCTTTTAGAGAGATGTAGGCACGATCGTCGTCAGACCTTCCGGAATGTCTGCTAGTACCTTGGATATCTCGCTCGGCGAAATCCCGGTGTTCCGAAACCGGCTTTCCCGAGTTGCGTCGTCTGTATCTTCAGATCAGCGGCTCAGCAGCAGATGGATGCGCGGGCGGATAAGAAACGACAGATTGGCCGCCTCTACCCCCCAATTCTCCCGACCGCGAGACGCACGTCAGTGTGTAGTGGTGGGGCTGGGGGCTGCGATTGGCGGCTACGGCATCGCGCCTTCTCCGTGTAGGGTTAGCACCTTCCGTTTGCCCTGCGTTCCGTCACCATCGCGTCCACGGGTGCACCCCAATAATCACATGGGACGCGCCTACCGCCCTTTGCGGTGGTGAGACACCTGAGGTCAGCCTCCGAGGGCTGCGCACCGCTGCCTGCTGGAGTTGCTCGAGCTGGTGCTTTTGCTGCTTTGTTCGCCTGGCCGCCCTGCACACGCAAGCCGGTCTGAAACAGCTGGCGGACCCGCGGCGGAGCCTATCTCGCCCCGGACACAGGACAACAACGCATCCTGGAGGGATCCGCGGCATAGTGGGGAGCAGCCATGGTGCCCAGCCATAACATATCCATCGTGACACCGCCATCGTTTTCCGGATGACCATGATAGCGGCCTCTGCTCGGCGACATGTCTCTGGCTGCCCTCGACACTAATAGACCGCCCCTGCCCCGATTGTAGCTGCTGCCTCCCTACCCACCGCCCTCGCCATGCCCAAGTCGATGCAGTCGTACCACAGCGTCGACGACTACGACGCCGACGATGACTACGCCGCCGAACAGCGCGAGCGCGACGACACCTTCAGCAGCACCACGCCCACGTCGCCCACGCTCACCTTCAGCGCCCAGCGCCCGATGCGTGCCTCGGACACGGACCTCACGAGGTCGACGGGCAGCGTCAACGAGCGGACCGCCCTGCTAGGAGTGCCCCATCTGCGGGGGGCCAGGTCCTACAAGAGCCTGCCCGCCACCTCCCCGGGCACCCCTCGTCCGGGCATGACGCGCAACAACAGCCAGCTGCCCACCAGCTCGCGCATGCGGAGCCGCCGGGGCTCCCTCACCGGCGGCCACACCTTCAGCCAGCGCCTCGTCAATGCCCTGGGCGAGCGGGGGGCGGGCCTCGAGCAGAGCATGCACTCCGCAAAGGCGTCTTTCTTCCAGGACAACCGCGTGTGGTACGATCAGTTCACGTCGACCGACTGGGTCCACGACAACATCGCCGACGCCTACCGCGTCAAGGCCCTGCGGAGCCGAAAGGACATCAGGGGCCGCCTCGCCGCTTGGTTCGACGGTGCGCAGGGCTGGATTCTGGTAGCCCTAATCGGCGTGCTCACTGCCGTGTGCGCCTACTTCGTCAACACCACCGAGACCACGCTGTTCGATCTGAAGCAGGGCTACTGCACTACCGGCTGGAACAAGAGCCGCAAGGCGTGCTGCCAAGGTGCCTCTATATGCGACAACTGGCTCAAGTGGTCCGAGGCGGTCCGCAATGACAGGCTGGACGTCGTCCAGACCCAATATGGCTTTTTCGTCCTCTCCGTCATCTTGCTCTCCATGGCCTCGTGTCTGCTCACGCTCACCACAAAAACAGTCATCCCTTCAGCCATCTCACTGTCCACACTCGACGAAAACCTCGGCGCAGAAGTCCGGAGATACTCTGATCAGGCAGAGGAAGAAGACCGCAAGCGCAGCATCAGCCCAGAGTCAAGGTTCCAGGAAGTCCAGGCACGGCCACCCATGGTCTACTACTCCGCTGCTGGCAGTGGTGTAGCCGAAGTCAAGGTCATCCTCAGTGGTTTCGTTCTCCACGGTTACCTGGGTGTACGCACACTGCTCGTCAAGACGCTAGCTCTGATCCTCAGTGTTGCATCGGGCCTCAGTCTCGGTAAGGAGGGCCCATACGTGCACATTGCGACTTGCATAGGAAACATTGCGTGTCGTATATTCTCAAAGTATAGCAACAACGACGGCAAACGCAGGGAGATTCTCAGCGCTAGTGCCGCTAGTGGTGTTGCCGTAGCTTTCGGCGCTCCGATTGGCGGAGTGCTCTTCAGTTTAGAGGAAGTGAGCTACTACTTTCCGTCCAAGACGCTCTTCAGAACCTTCTTTTGCTGCATCGTAAGTCGCTAGTCTCTCCTCTCGACCTTGCTAATCCCTTATAGGCGGCTGCGTTATCTCTTAAATTCCTGGATCCATACGGCACCAAGAAGATCGTCCTCTTCGAGGTTCGGTATCATCTAGACTGGAAGTTTTTTGAACTGGCAACCTTTGTGTTCACCGGCGCTGTGGGCGGCGTTCTCGGCGCATTGTTCATCAAAGCATCTCGCATCTGGGCACGGACATTCCGTCGCATACCCGTTATCAAGAAGCATCCGCTCCTTGAGGTCTTCTTGGTTGCGCTTGTGACTGGTTTGATCAGTTTCTGGAACCGATACACCAAACTTCCCGTCACCGAACTCTTGTTCGAACTGGCAAGTCCGTGCGACACGTACACTGACACCGGCGACGGTCTCTGTCCGACTCTGGAGCATATTCCGAGCGTACTCAAAACCTTGTTTTTCGCATTTGTCATCAAAGCTCTTCTGACTGTCGTCACCTTTGGTATCAAGGTCCCAGCCGGTATCTATGTACCTTCCATGGTCGTAGGCGGTCTCGCCGGGCGCTTCATCGGCCACACTGTTCAACTTGCTGCTCTACGCTTCAATCATCTGGGCGTCTTCGGAGAGTGTTCGCCTGACGGTCCGCCAGGTTCATGCGTCGTTCCTGGAGTGTACGCGCTAGTGGCTGCTGGAGCAACAATGACCGGCGTCACTCGTCTCAGTATCACACTGGCCGTCATCTTGTTCGAGCTCACGGGTAGTCTGGATCACGTACTCCCTTTCTCTCTCGGCATTCTGGTCGCCAAATGGGTGGCGGATGCCATTGAACCGCTCAGTATCTACGACTTGCTCACAGACATGAACTCGTACCCATTCCTCGATAACAAAGTTCGGCCCATCTTCACATCCGAGCTTGGCGACATCACTACTGGAAAGAGACAGGATCATATCATCGACATTTCAGAAGACGCACTCATTCCCGCAGTCGAGCTGCGTGCAAAGCAACGTGGACTACAAATGATAGGTGAACTGGACGGCGGTCTGTCCATCATCAAAAACGGCGTTCTTGTTGGCCTCATTCCTGCACCGGATCTTGAGTTTGCGCTCGATAAGCTGGAGAACGAAGAGAACACGCTTTGCCTCATGTCACCGCGAGTTGATTGGGCTGCAGGGCGTGAGCCCCAAGACGAAGAAGAGCAAGAAGCCTATGATCCAAGTGATTTCACTCCATATATTGACCCAGCACCTGTTGCATTGGATGTTCACTCACCGATGGACTTGGTATACGAATGCTTTGTAAAGCTCGGACTACGATATATATGCGTGCTCAGAGATGGCAAGTACGCTGGTCTGGTACGTATCACGTTCGAAGTCGAGACTTAGCAATACTAACTGCAAGTAGGTTCATAAGAAAACCTTTGTCAAGTACGTCAAAGAATTGGAGCATCAGGAAAAGAAAGGACGTGAGATCTAAGTCCTAGCGGCATTACATTTCCCATTGTTTCTTGCATAGCGTCATACCCTCATTATCATTCAGCGGTCTTTCCCTTCACTTTCAGTTCATTTTCACAAGCACATACTGCATTTAGATTGGCGTTGCACGGCATGTCTTCGTAGATGACGCGGTATCACATGGCAAGCGAAGAGCATACATTGAATCATTTCATCAAAATGTCCACAGGATTGGTTTACAGCCTCCTTCATTGCACCCGGTGTTTCTTTGGTCAACATAGCTATGAAATGGCCGACTACTTACTCTAAAACATTTCACGCACTCCACAAATTGAGGTTGATGTGGTAGTGCAGCCGTTCGCACGGTCCCTGATGTGTGCGCACGCGATCGCGTCAACTTTCTACCTGACACCATGGCCTGAATTGATTTTCTACGCAGCTGCAGATTCACTTCTGGTGGAGTCGTGATCCTAGCCTCTACGCTGAATCATATCCATAGTCGAGTGAAATGTACATAAGGATCAACCTGACAATTACGACCATTACCGCTACATATAGAACCGATCTCATCTGCCTGTCTACCAGGAATCGTTGCAATGCGTATGGCCTTGTTATTTCTCCTGTTCTTAGGGGTTCTTACATTAGTACTAGCCTCCACGAATCGGTACTGTCGCACCGGATCCGAAACTGACGCACTCGACCCTGGCTCTGTCGGCCCCCAGGAGGGTAACATGAATCATTTCAAGTTTGGTATCGCGCAACCCTGGCCTCCCATCAGCATCCCTAAGAAGGGCCGGATTCGTCTCCTTCGATATTGCTTTGCGACTGCCAAAGCCAAAGCGGAACTTGATTGTCCACTCCAGAAAGGGTTCAAGATATGGGCCGACGCCATCAAGACACCAGCCAGTGCTGCGAACGGCCATTGCCTCGGATGGATGGAAATTCATGACGGCAACGAGGATAGAAATGAGAGAATGTATCCGACCTGCTACCTCGATGACTACAAGGACAAGAAAGAGCCTGGAACGTGGAACCCG